TGTTGGTGTTGTTGTTGTTGTTGTTGTTGTTGTTGTTGTTGTTGTTGTTGTTGTTGTTGTTGTTGTTGTTGGTGTTGGTGTTGGTGCTGGTGCTGGTGCTGGTGCTGGTGCTGGTGCTGGTGCTGGTGCTGGTGCTGGTGCTGGTGCTGGTGCTGGTGCTGGTGCTGGTGCTGGTGCTGGTGCTGGTGCTGGTGCTGGTGCTGGTGCTGGTGCTGGTGCTGGTGCTGGTGCTGGTGCTGGTGCTGGTGCTGGTGCTGGTGCTGGTGCTGGTGCTGGTGCTGGTGCTGGTGCTGTTGCTGGTGCTGGTGCTGGTGCTGGTGCTGGTGCTGGTGCTGGTGCTGGTGCTGCTGCTGCTGCTGCTGGTGGTGGTGGTGGTGGTGGTGGTGGTGGTGGTAATTATGGTGGTCGTTGTCGTTGTCGTTGTCGTTGTCGTTGTCGTCGTTGTTGTCTTTGATGATGATTGGTGATGATTATGATGGTGGTGGTGGTGGTGGTGACGACGACGTCGACGACGTCGAGGACGATGATGATGATGATGATGGTGATAATGATGATGCGAAGCTGCAGTGCCACGCGCGTTGCAAGGTCATACCGCTTAAACCTGGATAATTTCACCATGCGCGCAGCTGAGCTGAAAGGCCGATCCAAGAGCCCCTTGTTCATGTGTGTTGGCCTAGTTCTTGGCCTGTTGACAGGAACCTCAGACCGCTGCGTTGTGCTCAAGATCGCCAACAAGAGGCCGTGGGGTCAGTGTAGGGGTCACGCCACGTCCTCAAGCTGAAAGGTTTCTGGACTTTATCAAGAAGAGCCAGCGTGAGAAGCCCTTTCTACAAGCTTGTCGCGGCCAAGCCTTGGAATCTGAGATTCAAGCTCGGATTTTGATTCCTTTCCCGTTGCTGATGCTGGTGCGTGTGCGTGAAGCTAGGAAAAGCAGCAAATTGTCCGAGAGCACATCAAGGTCCTGCTTGAAAGATGGTCCATCGAGGAGCAGAACGAACTGCTCCGAAAAGGCTTGGTATGCGCTTGGGACCCTCGCGGTGTGATTGCCTCGCAGGCATCCTCACTGTGAAGAATGTGCCTGAAGAAGCCGTGGATCCAAACAAATTCCGCATGACATACCGGGGCGTCAAGGCCTGCTTTGGCCTTGTTTACAGTTGGGCCATTGGGTGGATCGCTCCCGCAGGCCACCATCACGATCCGAAATGCTGCCAATCTATCGAGCGATGGCTGGTTTGACAAGCTCGACCCCTATGCCATTGCACGCTTCCGTGGAAGTCGTGAGGACCGCGCGTTTTTGGATGTGGCACGTTTGATTGAGCCACATTGACAGGAAGTCAGAACCAGCGTCCTCGCGGATGCTGGTGGAGATCCAATCTGGGATTGTGCAGGCGCGAACGCCACAGTTATGGACGGATGGGCGCATTGGGAGCCGTGGGTTTCGGTTCGCGGCCTTCACGGGGGCATCTTGGGCCTTTGTCTCATTCACAGGCTCCGTCATCTACAATGGCGAGGTGGCTCTTGAAATCTCAGTTTGGGATTACGCACTTTGGCCTAAAGAACTTTCTTGTGTTGCCCTGAGCATTCGGGGTCAAGCGCTGAGGACCGATACAGTGCCGACAACCTGTTGGCCACTGGGGTTGTCCAGGTGGAACAGTTCTGCACCGGCTTTGATGGCATGATTCCTTTGAGTGTGGCTGGCTCGGCGCTGAGTTGGCCCTAATGTCCGGATGCACCCTTGTCCTCAAGAGTTGACCAAGGTGACCGAAGAAAGCGCGCAACGAAGCAAGCGATGACGCTAAGCTGACAGCAGTCTTTCCCGAAAGCAGCCTGACAAGCTTGCTTGCATGAGGATTACGATTGGCGTCATGTTTGATCGACCCATGCAAGAGGCGCGACGTCCTTCGTGCACCTTTGGCAGCAGATCAGGATCTTTGCAGTTTGCCTGTTCCCCTCTCGTGCCAGGACATGTCGGAAACTGGCCTATCGTCCCTGAAGCTACGATAGGCCGGTCGTGAGATTCGGGAAGCTGGAGACCCACCCTCGCACGTTTTGCTAGGCCACGCGCAAAACAGCTTGCAGCCAGTGGCATGCTTGGCCGGCATTGGGACTTGTGCAGCGCGTGCAAGTCCAAATGCAAAAGGAACCTTGGCCGTGAAGCTTCCTCGTTGAACCTTTAGGATTCCTGAATTCATTCTGCAGCTTGCACGGAATTACGTGGATACTTTGGGCGCTGCATGGGCTGTGCCATCTTGCGAAATCGCAAGTCTGACACAGGCCAGCTCCAAGACGGGGCCATTTGCTGCTTCAATTCCAATTCTGGCGTCCCAACCGTTGCAGCATGGCAAGCAGCAACCAGAAACTATTGGCAGTGCGGAGCAGCATGTGCCGACACTGGCAAGCCATGTCAAGGAGCAGGGTGTGCTGACGTGTGTAGATCAATTGAGATAAAGAGCCGTTTGGGCAAGTTTCTTGCTGCGACTTTGACTGCTGGCTTGGTTGTAGACGTGGGGTTCAACCCTGATGTGCGCCGATGAGGCGAACTGATTCAACGCCTTGCAAGTTTTTGTCCTGCCCCTGCAGGCTGCCAGCTGCTCTTTGGTTGGCGCTTGGCCTTCTAGGAGTGGCAGGGGATTTGAAATGGCCAGCGCTGTTTCACGTAGCTGGCTGCAGGTGCAGCGGAGGAAGCTATCCCTGACAAAGTTGGCGTGGAGGTTCGCCTGGCCAAGAAGGAGCAACTGGCAGGCGCATGTGCTTGCATCTTGCGGTTGTTTTCAGGAGAGATCGGCGCTGAAGCAGCTAGAATGCAGCATGTGCAAGGCAATCATCAGCCAGAGGCTTAGCTTTTCCCTTTGCAACGCTCACAGCGTACATGCGCTGCGTATTGCCCCATT